GAAAGCCATGGGAAGGGTGTGGGGTTCTGTCATATTATGGCCTTACGGTGACAGATGTATAATAAATTCAATTATTACCAAGTTTGTCAAAGAAATAGACAACACAACACAAAAACCGTATATTTTTATTTATTAATCTTGAAGTTAAAAAAATAAAATGTCATGTGCATAAGTAAGATGATCCCAATTTCTTGAATTTTTACATACTGTAGAATACTTTATTTTCGCTATTTTCGCTGAAGGGTTGATTCCGTGAAAATAATAATAAAAATAAAATCCTATATTTCACATTAAACTCATGAAAAATCAGTGAAAATAAATTCCAAGCAAAACGCCTAAAAAGCCTTTTCAGCGAAAATTAATTTCAGCGAAAATAAAGTATTCCACAGTAATTTGCGACTTTATTTGGAAAATCCTTTGCAAGCACAAATGTTGTAATCAAAATCATGAAGAAAGTGTGAGAAAATAATAATTTCAAATTATGTCTAAAAAACACTAATTCTGTTTAATAATAGACAAATTCAAATTTTCAATAAATTGCTCCACTGATAAAACAAAGAACCACTGAAAAGCTGTCACAGTGTATATGATATATAATAATAATATTTTATTTCCATATATACAATTATAAATTACATTGCAGTAATAGAACTTGTCAGGATAATGCAGATTTTCATTTAAATTATTTAGAAATGCAATAATGGCTGGGAGGTAGAAATTAACTTGGATGAGTTAGTTGGATTCACCTCCCAGATCTAATGAAGTAACTGAAAATGTGCTGTATATATGGTGCCTCTCCCGCTTACATAACTAATAACTCTTTATATCATACAGCCAACGAAATGATGACCCCACCATGCACCCGGCAACTGGACATTTGGACAGATTACATGCCAGATTGTGATAAAAATGGATATTACAAACACAAGCAGTGTGTGGGTGAAGAATGCTGGTGTGTTAACAAATGTGGTGTTGAAGTTGAAGGTACCCGTATAAATGGAAATCCTAAATGCAGTAAGTATCAACTTAGTCCTATAAACATAGTACCAATACTAAACAAATTTGGATAAAGTAGTACCATAAAATCGATATTAGAAGCCGCATTCCTAATAGAAGTCGCACCTATTCTTTTTAAACAATTGAGAATAAAATTTCATTGTTTCTCATATGTTGTTGGTTAAAGCGGGGGAGTCGTCACCTGTGCATGCCTCAGATGGCCATAGCGTGTCCTTGTTTACAAACAAGCGTCTACCCATTAGTCTTTGCATTTTTAGCATGTGTTGTTATTGTCGGTTGGGACTCAATTTCCGCACGTGCGCAGGTGACGACCCTTTGGCTTTAAATAAATAAAAAACAAAAAAATACAAAAAAAATATATATGGGGAATCTTAAAACATTGTCTTGTATTACAATCAAATCTAAATATTGCAATGATTTACTCATCCCACTGGATAATTTAATGTGCTAGCTTGCCTCACTTTCTTCTTATCTCATATTTGGATGTATAATGTTCACTGTAACATAGGTATATGATATAGATTTTAAATCACTTTATGGACAAAATAATTTTATGGATTCTGGACCGCTTTTAAAACAAAAGAACCAAATTATTTGGTCATGTTTTCTTCTGCTTTGCATCTTAATTAATCTCAAAGAAAATATTCCAATACAAATTTGTTTTCCTTTGACAGAAGCTGTGTTTTACTTGTCTGAGGAGGATGATACGACAGGCAGAACACTCTCCAGAACAAGCTCCAACATGTGTACAGATGGATCCCAACCAGAAATATGTGACAACAGTATTTGTGATAAGATGACCTGCCCTGGCTTCCATGATGCTAAATGCAAAGTAAATCGATGTAAAGGATGCACTGTGGAATTTTTCATTAAAGAGAAAAAAGTGGTTTGCAGAGATAGTAAGTATACAAGTTTTATTCCTACTGCATTATTACTTGTAATGTTGTTTTCCATGGTAATGATAATAATAATGAATTGTTGCTGGGAAAGGATTGACCAGCTTTGTTGTTATATTGAACTTGTACCCTCTTTGGGATTTTGATCAAATTACAGTGTAGTATATGTCTGTGTTAATTAAAAGTTTTATTTTAAAAATTCTAGCATTTACAGTGTTTGAAAAAAGCTGGCAGAATTGCTGAGACTATTGTTTTTAAGGGTACTCTAATTTCTGAGAAACAAATATAGAGACAATTTTTATTTAAAAAAATGAACTATTACTATATACAGTACAGTTCTCGCGGAAGCTTTGGCTTCACTTCAGCTTCACCTTCGCTTCAGCATCGCATCATTATGGCATTGTTATGGCTTCAGCATCGCTTCAATGTCGCGACATTAAAAAGTTAGGCGATTATCGCTTCGCTTCATTGTGGCCTCATTATGGCGACAATGTGGCATCAGCATCGCTTCATCAAACAAAGAAGTACTGTACTCATTTCCCCCAAACCTCTTGACCGCTTCCGCTTTTGACCGGTCAATTTCCGTTTTATTCATCGACCGTGCAACAATTCGGACTACTAAAAATTTTCTGGTTTTCATAGATCACGGTTACTAGTTTAGTAACCGTGCATAGATGTTGAACCACCGTCAAAAGTTCAAATACTTTTTGTTTTAACTATCTATAATTATATGCACGCAATCTGACCCTTTGACCTAGATTTGGCTGGGATTGAATATTTTATTTTAGACAATATTCCGACGTGACTCACTGCTACAAAATGTATTCAACAGAAGTACAACATGGTTGTCTGGGTTTCTTTTCCTGATTGTGTTGAGTTTACGATTTGTATAATTATTGTTGTTCCCCCCCCCCCCCAAGCAGAAGACAAGCGGA